TCTCTCTCTCTCTCTCTCTCTCTCTCTCTCTCTCTCTCTCTCTCTCTCCCCCTCTCCCTCTGTATTTTTAAGGCTTTTAATGTGACCTATAATGGGGTTAGCTTTGGAGAAGATTTCATACACTGGTGAGAAGAATGTGTAGCCCCTGTTTGTCAGATACAATAGCCTGTAAATCCAGTTGATTTGTGATAAAAATTAGCTCTGAAGTTTTTCTGCCGATTTTAGATTTGGAAGAAGTATCTAAATATGAGCAGAACACTGACCTTTCCCACTTGAATTGTATCAGGAACTGTATGATCTTTCATGCCTTGTGCACATGTTTTATGAAGTCGGGAGCTTTGATACTCTGCATAAATATTTATAATTGTTGTACTTTTTATCCCATTGCTCCATTATTAATATGTAGTGGTCTTCTTTATCTCTTCCGATTCACTCTAGTTTGACGTCTGCTTTGTCTGCCACAAGAAGAGCTATGCCTGCTTGTTTACAGCTTCCATTTGCTTACCAATTTGATTTCCATTTTTAGATACCTAGTTTATGGTCATCTTAGCTAGCTAAGTGTGTTTCTTGGAGATATCAGGGAGTTGGTTCTTGTTTCTTTTAAAAAAACATTTTTTATTCATTTTTCTAGCGTGTGCACGGATGCTGTGATATAGGTGTGGAGGTCAGAGGTCAGCTTACCCGAGTCTGTTCTTTCCTTGCACCCTGTGGAATCTGGGGCTTGAGCTCAGGCTACACGGTTTGGGGTAGGCACCTTTGCCTGCTCAGCCAACTACCCAGCACACTTCTTGTTTCTTAGTTCTGCTGGCTAGCCTGGATCGATTTAGTGATCAGTTGAACAGAGTTACATTCAAGGTTATTATTAGAAAGAACTTACTAGGACCCACCCCCCATCCCCAGTGATCCTGCCTAGAACCAAGCATACCCATACCATCTCCATGCTCCCAGTCCCAGCTCCTGATGCAAAGCTCATCCACATTGGCTTTTCCTAGTGAGGCCCCGCAAAGCAAATCCTGTCTGGACCATCTCCATGTTCCCAGGCCTACCTCTTGGTGTGCAGCTTCTTGCTTGGTGTCTAAGCAAGAGGCGGGATAGTGTTTTACCTCAGATACACAAAGAACAAAGTCTACATGCCCAAGTCACATTGTAAAATCACAGACCATATTAAAGACCAAACAGCATGCACCCCCCCCCAAACCCATTAGTCTGTTTTCTGATGAGAATTACCTAAATGAACCACAGGACACAGAATTTATAAGGATAATCATAAACTTGATCAAAGAATTAATGAAATCCTAAAAAAACACAAACAGACTCAATGGGGATACGATAAATGCCTGAATGATGTCCAAGAAAAGACAAATATAAAACTAAATGAAATGATGAAAACAATCCAGGATTTGAAAACAAAATATAATAAAGAGATAGAAATATTGGTGAGAACTCAAGTTGTTATAAAGAAGGAATTGAAAAACCTCAAAACCTCAGAAAACTCAGGGCAAAGCCTTACAAGTAGAATGAACCAAGTAGAAGACAGAACGTCAGAACTTGCAGATAAAGTAGAGGAATTAGACAACCCACACAAAGAATATTTAAAAAATGAAAAGCATATGAAAGGGCAATGTTGGCTCTATTGGACTATTGACAAACAAAATGCCAGATTATAGGCAGAGAAGAGGAATCCCAGGTCAAAGGCATAAACCAGATCTTCAACTCCCTAACTCTTTATAAACCACAGCAGAAAAAACAGACTGTTCTGTTGAACATAGGTCCAAAAATCCTCAATAAAATAGCTGCAAGTCAAACTCAGGCATGTACCAAAAAGAGCACATTGGCTTCGTCCTGCAGATGCAGGAGTGGTTCAGCACACGTAAGTCTCTAAATGTGACAGGTCATATAAAGGGACTTAGGGATAAGAATCATATGACCATTTCAGTAGATGCATAGAAAGCCTTTGACAAATCTGACACACCACCATGATACAAGCCCTGGAGAGAATAAGATGAGAAGGTCATAGATATCAATGAATTTTTCTTTTAAACCCTGGGGATAGTGCACTGCCTACATTTCATGCCTGTGTCC